AAAATACTCACTATAAGGGCAATCAGGGTTTTCATGATAAAGATAATAACAAGAACAATGGCCAGATGCAAGACGTGACAATAAATCATCCATCTCCAAGGCATGTATATCATCAACTCATAAGATAAAAAGAAGTTAATAATAGCCAAAGCAACAAACCAAAAGCTTAGCAAAAAAACGAATCACAAATAATTAGATGAAAACCGTTAGTCCCCGGCAACGGCGCCAAAATTTGATAGGCTTATCGCGTACCTAACAAAAATAACCTAACTATTCCTTCTAACTGTGTAGTAGGGCAAGTAAGGATCGAATCCCAAGAGACTATGGTTCATTCAATTAATCAGACTCAATTAATCACTAAGCACGTGACCAATCAATAATGGATGATAATAATCAACTAATTTATTAAATAACACAATTAACTAGAGGAAATATTAATCAATAAACTAAAGCATCCAAGATCAAGCATCACCACGATTATGATTGATAAACTAATAAATCTACCCCCAATATATAAATCAATTGACAAGAAGAAAAGCAATCCCTAATAATAATACCAAAGGTCTCTTCCGAGTTATCAATGGCTTCCCAAATTAACTATCAAGCCTACTTCCGTGGAATCAAGCGAATAAGGGACATTAAACACCATGCCTAGATTCCTAATTATTCAATCATCTACTTCCGTGATGATCTTCAAACCCTTAATTGAAATAACCTAATCCCGTTAATACCCAACTTCCGTTGCAATAAGAACAAAGGGATGATAACAATACTAATTATCCCTAATCTAGTATTGGCATAAACACAATCAATTAAGCATGTCAATTGGGATTATTATTGGGGAATTTAAAGATCTACTTTATACATCAATCATAATCGGGCTTAGCAAGATCCCGGATTAAGGAAACTACTCACAAATCATAATTAAATCAAAAACAAGATCTAATAGAGAACACATAATTAAAGAACTATAAAATAAATAAAAGAGATGGAAAGTAAGAAATACCAAATACTTCAATTGATGATCTTGAATTCTTGAGGAACAATTAATAAAACTAGGATTAAAGATTGAAATTGCTTAAGAAAATAAAACTAGGGTTCTTGAGAGTTTTCTAGGGCTTAAGGAGAAAACTAATGAAAAACTAACTCTCTAAAAGTTAATTACAAAAGGGTATTTATACCCCCAAAAGATAATATTTCGGAAAAATAAGAAAATACGCGTTCTTGAGCTTTGCCCGGTCTGACCGGGCGGACCTCGCCCGATCGGGCGGAGGAAGGCTGCGTAAAATACGACAGTTTTCCTTCTTTGCCCGGTCAGACCGGGCGAACCTCGCCCGGTCGGGCGGAGGAAGGCTGCGTAAAATACGACAGTTTTCCAGAATTGCATCTTCATAACTTGACTTCTTCATCGCCCGGTCTGACCGGGCGAAGCCTGCCCGATCGGGCATTCCACATAAATTTCAGTTCTTGGCTATCAACTCTTCCGAATCTACTAAAAACACGTCCAATTGCCTAGAAACGCTTCATATTCCTGAAAAGCTTACTAAAACAATCGAATACACTAAAGAAGAGATTGTTAGCAAGAAATAGCTCCGTAGAGCTCAAAACCATACAAAATCATGCAATAAAACCGGGGAAAACCATTGTATAAAACACGTATATCAGGAACAAAGTGTGTTTGGGTGTGAATTTTGTGAAAATCACAAAGTCTCACATTGGTGGGAAATGAAAGTTTTACCTACTTTATTATGTAGAGTGTGGTATACTTGGGTGTGGCTCAAGGGCTACCCACATTTTGTGGAGAGGTAAGACTTACCTACCGAGCCTACCTAACACACACACGCGTGCGCCAAATCGAGCCGGGCTGGGCTGGATCGGGTAGGGTGATCAAAACAGATTTTAAATTTTTGAACAAGGTTTAGTTATGTAATTTGTTTAAACTGATTACTGAATTAATTCCTTGATTTTTTGTAACTGTTTTGATTGATTCCCTACTATTATTCATAACCCTTTTTATTCCAATTTTAATTCCACATTTTCGTTTTTTTAATTGGCTGTTTTTGACATTAATTTCGCTGGTTTAAGAATGGTTTTAATTGCTACCGTTATGCTACTGCTTTGGCTATAAAAAGAACACTTTGCTCACTGTTTTAGAATACAGGAAAATTATTCTAATCTTCTTCCTCCTAAAATACAGAATTCGAGCAGTTTCTAAGTAGTGTTGGTGTTTAGTTGCCCGGTGGTTTTGTGCAAATCCATCGGTATATTTTTATTTCGAGAGGCTGTTTTATCTTGGGGGACATCCGGTTGTGGTTCGATTTGCTTGCACAAATTAGAGGCAGTACCGTGAATGTTCTAAAGAGAGCGACATAATCCGCAACTCAGTCTCATTCCCGGTAACATTGTTCTTATTATTTTTGTTCCTGCAGTTCCGTTTACAACAATTTTAGAACAATTCTTTTCTGCCTTTCGTGAATATTATGTCTACCGAAGAAATCACTATGTCCAACGACCTCAACAAACCCTTCCGTTTTGAAGGTGCTTACTTTAAAAGATGGAAACAGAAAATGCAATTTTTCTTGACTGTTAAAAAAATTTATTCCGTATTGACTGTTCCTAGGCCTGTTAATCCTGATAATGCTGATGAAGATGAAAAAGTTTTTCTGAATAGTGAAATCGAAACCTGGAATGAAACTGATTTTATGTGGAAAAATTATATTCTTAATGGCCTGTGTGATAATTTGTATGATTATTACAATATGGAAAACTCTGCTAAGGATCTTTGGGATGCCCTGCAAAAGAAATATGATACTGAAGAAGCTGGTGCCAAAAAGTATGGTGTCAGTAGGTACCTGAAGTTTCAGATGACTGATGAAAAGTCCGTGGAAGTGCAATCCCACGAACTTCAGAAAATTGCCCATGATATAATTTTCGAAGGAATGACCCTTGATGAACAATTTCAAATTGTTGTTATTATTGACAAACTGCCCCCTTCTTGGAAAGATTTCAAAAATAATCTCAAGCACAAGACTAAGGAATTCTCCTTGGAGAGTTTGATCACTCGTCTTCGTATAGAAGAAGAATCCAGGAAATAGGACCAGAAGGAAGAAATCTTATAGGTCACTACAAACAATGCTACTAAGCGATCTGCTGCAGTATTCAAGCCTGTTGGTAAGAATTTCAAGCCTTAGAACCGGAAGAATAACTCCAACAGAAACAAACAAAATGTTCAAAAGAACAATGGACAACAACAGTCTCATCCTCCTAAGAATGGTTTTGGTCAATTTCTATGCTATAGGTGTGGAAAACTAGGTCATATGGCACGAAAATGCGGGAACATGCCTAACCCTGCAATTGTGCAGGCAAGCATGATTGAAGAGCCCCTTGTGGCTATGATTACTGAGATAAACCTTATTGGTGGATCAGATGGGTGGTGGGTAGACACTAGTGCTACACGCCATGTCTGCTATGATCGTCGGATGTTTAAAACATACACTGAAAAGACCGATGATAAGAAAGTGTTGTTGGGTGATTCCCATTCCACTAATGTTGCTGGTATTGGAAATGTTGAGTTGAAGTTTACTTCTGGCAGGACTCTCATTCTGAAGGATGTATTGCACACTTCGGAAATGAGAAAGAATTTAGTCTCTGGTTTTCTTCTTAATAAGGCTGGTTTTACACAAACCATAGGTTCTGATTTGTTTACTTTGACTAAGAATGGAATGTTTGTAGGAAAAGAATATGCTACTGATGGTATGTTTAAACTGAATGTTGAGATTAATAAAATTTTTGATTCTGCTTATATGTTGTATTCCACTATTAATGTTTGGCATGCTAGACTTTGTCATGTGAACAAAAGACTCATCAAAAATATGAGAAATCTAGGTCTTATTCCTAAGTTTTCACTTAATGACTTTGACAAATGTGATTTTTGTAGTCAGGCTAAGATTACAAAAACACCTCATAAGTCGGTTTTGAGAAATTTAGAACCATTAGACTTAATTCATTTGGATATTTGTGAATTTGACGGAAAGTTCACCAGAAATGGACAACGATATTTTATCACCTTTATTGATGATTGTTCTGATTATACTTGTGTTTATTTGATGAAAAATAAGAGTGATTCTTTTGAAATAAGTTGTTTGTGACAGAATTTGAGAATCAGTTCAACAAGAAGATAAAAAGGTTACGAAGTGATCGTGGAACTAAGTATGGTACTAATGCTTTTATAGAATTTTATAATTCACATGGTATCATACATGAAAGATCTGCCCCTCATTCTCAGAAATGAATGGGTAAGGCTATAAGAAAAAATAGAACTTTTTACTGAGTTAGTAGTTGCTATTTCCTTAAATTTTGGTGCTGCTGATTATTGGTGGGGTGAAATCCTTCTTACCGTTTGTTATGTCTTGAATTGTGTTCCAAAGACTAAGAGTAAGGTTTCTCCTTATGAAATTCTTCGTAACAAATAACCTAATATTTCTTATTTTAGAACTTGGGGTTGTCTAGCATATGTTAGGATTCCTGATCCTAAAAGAGTTAAGTTAGCTAGTAGAGCTTATGAATGTGTGTTCATTGGATATGCTGTTAATAGTAAAGCATATAGATTTTTTGATCTAAATGCATGTGTAATTATTGAATCTAATGATGCTGATTTTTATGAGGACAAGTTTCCTTTTAAATCTAGAAATAGTGGGGGTTCATCCTCCTCTATTATTCCTGAAGTTAGGTTTAACTCACAAGACTTGGATGCTGAACCTGAACTAAGAAGGAGCAAACAGGCTAGAGTAGCAAAAGACTTTGGCCCGGACTTTGAAGTTCTCAATGTAGAGGAGAATCCATCTACCCTCCAAGAAGCCTTAGCCTCAGTTGATGCAGACTTATGGCAATAAGCTGTAAATGACGAAATGGACTCACTTGAGTCTAATCGAACTTGGCACCTAACTGAGTTGCCACCAGGTTGCAAGACAATAGCTTGCAAATGGGTCCTGAAATGAAAAATGAAAGTTGATGGCACCGTTGATAAGTATAAAGCTCGTTTGGTAGCTAAAGGCTACAGACACAGGGAGAATGTTGATTTCTTTGATACCTATTCACCTGTAACTAGAGTAACTTCTATTAGAGTGCTAATGTCTCTTGCTTCTGTTTATAATCTTGTAGTGCATCAGATGGATGTAAAGACTGCATTCTTGAACTGTGAATTGGAAGAAGAAATCTACATGGACCAACTAGAGGGCTTTGTCATCCCAGGAAAAGAGCATCTGGTATGTAAGCTAGATAATCTCTTTATGGTCTCAAACAAGCACCTAAACAATGGCATGAAAAATTTGATAACTTAGTCATTTCACATGGTTTTAAGATAAATGGTAGTGACAAATGCATATATGTAAAATTTGAGAATGACATTTGCACTATAGTTTGTTTGTATGTGGATGACTTGTTAATTTTTGGCTAAACTATTCACGCTATGAATAACGTAATGCTATTGTTGAATGTTGAGTTTGACATGAAAGATCTAGGGGAGGCAAATGTAATCCTTGGGATTAAGATTACTAGGACAGAAAATGGAGTTTCTTTGGATCAATTTCATTACATTGAAAAAATCCTAAAGAAATATGGTTACTTTGACTGTAAACCTGCAAGCACACCTTATGACCCCAGTGTAAAATTATTTAAGAACACTGGTAATGCCGTTAGGTAATCTGATTATGCGAGCGTCATTAGTAGCCTTCGGTATGCCACTGATTGTACTAGACCCGACATTGCCTATGTCGTTGGATTATTAGGCAGGTTTACTAGTTGTCCTGGTAATGAGCATTGACATGCTATTGAAAGGGTCATGAGATACCTTAAGAGGACCGAACCTAGGGTTACATTATGAAAGGTTTCCAGCTGTTCTAGAAGGCTATAGTGATGCTGACTGGAACACCTTATCAGATGACTCTAAAGCTACTAGGGGATATATTTTCTCTATAGCCGGTGGAGTTTTATCTTGGAAGTCTAAGAAACAAACTATTTTAGCTCAGTCCACCATGGAGTAAAAAATGATAGCACTAGCTACAACTAGTGAAGAAGCAGGTTGGTTAAGAGACCTGCTAGGTGAGATTCCCTTATGGGAAAAACCATTACCGGTTGTCTTGATCCATTGCGATAGTACCGCGGCTATTGCAAAAGTTCAGAACCGTTACTACAACGGTAAGAGATGACAAATACGTCGTAAGCACATCACTGTACAAGAATATCTCTCAATCGGAACTATTAAAGTGGATCATGTACGCACTGAGAATAATTCGGCTGATCCTTTAACGAAAGGATTGGCTAGAGAGAAAGTCCATAATTTTTCTAAGAAAATGGGAATATTGCCATTGAAATGAGTCACACATAATGGTAACCCAACCTATGGACTGGAGATCTTAAGAAATAGGTTCAATGGGTAATAACAAGTTATGGAGTAATATGAGTTGATTATGTTCAAACGACATAAGTTCCTGAAGCGATCAAGGATGAGTTAATAGGAGCTCTTAATGAAATCTATACTCCATTTTGGAGTGGAGTACCTAGCTACAGGAGTACTCTTGGTAGATTCACCTATGTGAATATGGAAGTTAGGCCGCTTCTTATGAAATGTGCGGCAGCATTTCTAGAGCGTTCACTATATTGGGATGCCGTAATAGCACGGGTCTATAACAACATCAAGAGTAGGTCGTGTGTGGTACGTTGTCAGAGATAGGGTTCAAAAACTTTGAGTTACCCTTGTTAAATCTGAATCATATTCACTACACCAAAGTTCAAGTTGAAAAACACTTCTGTTTATGCACAACCTATATGTGTAAGGATTCCGCTCGAAAATGTTTTCCAAAATTCAAGTGGGGGATTGTTGGAACAAAGTGTGTTTAGGTGTGAATTTTGTGAAAATCACAAAGTCCCACATTGGTGGGAAATGAAAGTTTTACCTCCTTTATTATGTAGAGTGTGGTATACTTGGGTGTGGCCCAAGGGCTACCCACATTTTGTGGAGAGGGAAGACTTACCTACCGAGCCAACCTAACACACACACGCGCGCGCCAAATCGAGCCGGGCTGGGCTGGGTCGGGTATGTTGATCAAAACAGATTTTAAATTGTTGAACAAGGTTTAGTTATGTAATTTGTTTAAACTGATTACCGAATTAATTCCTTGATTTTTGGTAACTTTTTTGACTGATTTCCTACTAGTATTCATAGCCGTTTTTATTCCAATTTTAATTCCACATTACCGTTTTTTTAATTGGCCGTTTTTGACATTAATTTCGCTGGTTTAAGAACGGTTTTAATTGCTACCGTTATGCTACTGCTTTGGATATAAAAAGAACACTTTGCTCACCGTTTTAAAATACAGAAAATTATTCTAATCTTCTTCCTCCTAAAATACAGAATTCGAGCAGTTTCTAAGTAGTGTTGGTGTTTAGTTGCCCGGTAATTCTGTGCAAATCCATCGGTATATTTTTATTTCGAGAGATTGTTTTATTCTGGGGGACATCCGGTTGTGGTTCGATTTGCTTGCACAAATTAGAGGCCTTACCATGAATGTTCTAAAGAGAGCGACATAATTCGCGACTCAGTTTCATTCCCGGGAACATTGTTCTTATTATTTTTATTCTTGCATTTTCGTTTACAACAAATTTCTTATGGTTGGCCAAACATATTAAATTCAGGTTGTTTTTGTGGCAATGGTTATCACTTACTACTAAATAATGTTTTGTTATAGGCATTTTTTTGTTAAGCTACTTCAACTAACTTCAATAATAAAGAGTATTTATATTTATGGTCTAAGTTTAGCTAGAATTTTATCGTATACATTTTACTAACTAAATATATAAATTTAAGGTGCTGAAAAAGAACTAATAAGGCCCTGTTACGTTTATTATTTTGACTTGTGTGACATATTAAAAACTAAGTAAAGATGTATGTATGTCATGTACCAATGTATGTGTCAGTTGTCCCATTGTTAAATTTTATTTATGTATGTTGTAATTTTATATGCAGACCATTCGACTTATTATGTATGTTACCATTTCATATGAATATCATATCTTTTTGAAAATTTTTGAACTTATTCAAACTTAATTGTTTTAGTTGAAAAAACTTTTTTTTTTTTTTTTTCTGAAATTATTTTATTTGTGTGTGATTTTGTCTGAAATACTTATTTTTATTCTAAACATGTTTAAATTAAGTTAAATTAAGATGAATAATATATTCCTTAACTCCAATCCCATCTACTTCTCCATTAACATAAACAATATATCAATGTCAATACATATATATATATATATATATATATATATATATATATATATATATATGGGATCATGTGAGAACACATCCCTTATGTGAGAACCTGGTATATGTGAGGACATATTACAACTGTTGGATCAATTGCATCCAATGACTACCATTTATCCCGGTCAAACATAATTTCAAAAAAAAAAAAAGAAATTAGCGTTTTCTCTCTCCTCCTTCATTTTGCTAGTTATTTTCTGTCTCCTACTTCAATTTCTCAGTTCTCAGTTCTCTACTCTCTTTCTCCTTGCTATTTGCTCTGATTCTTCATCAATTCTTCTTCAAACTTCATCAATTCTTCGTCAAGGTGAGTTTCGCTTATGTTTTACTTTGTGTTTTTCGTTGATTTTAGTTTGATTTTCGTTTTTTCAGTAGTTATTAAGTTGATTTTAGTTTTATTTTTGTTATCTTACATTTTTTTTTCGTTTTTTTAGAAACCTAGATATCACTGCTTATTTGTGCTATTACGTTGATCTTAGGTTTATTTGAATAATTATTAAGTTGATGTTAGTTTGATTTTAGTTTGATTTGAGTAATTATTTTGAATTTCTGTTTTTTCCTTGATTTTTGTTTGATTTTTCGGCTTAATTTCTTCAATTGTATTTAATATTTCTGCTTAATTGTATCAGTTTGTGCTCGATTATTTCAACTTAATTTTATCAGTTTGTGTTCGATTTTTCAATTTCTTCATCAACTTTTCTGAAAGAGCCTGATTTTGAGAGTAGTTTGGAAGAGCTTGATTTTGAGAGTAGCTTAGAGGAGCTTGATCTTGAGAGTATGTTGGAGGAGGTTGTACCTGAGTAGAGAATGGAGGAGTATGATTCTGAGAATTAGTGATGAGTCATTATTAACTTTTTCTCACCACCCTCATCTGTGGACTTGGTTATTGTTTGCATAATTAGTGATGAGTCATTATTGGATTGTGTTAAGGACCAGTCATTTTCTTGTTCAAGTGGCGTAAACAAGTAACTAAATCGAACACCTTTTCTCCTATGGGCAATGAATCTTTCCTTAGATATTCATGCCTTATCCAAAATGAACAATCATATAGGAAATATGTGATTCTTGGTAGATTTTAGGACATAAAGTTACATTTTCTCATTTTTAAAATTTCCAATTCCCCAAACTAGGCTACTATGCTCAGTTTGTCTGCCTTTGCTTATATGTTAACATTGTCACAACTCATAAGGTTCTTAAAATGGGTAGTATAGAAACTACCCAAATTTGTTCCTTTTGACTTACTTTTTCTTAGTTGGTAGGACACTATTTTCTCACATTTAGGATCCTCTGCTTCTTGTTAGAAATGTGGTGAACCCCCTTCCCCCTCTTTATTTCTCTTCATATTATGAGATATATTTTCCCATGCATGCCATCCTCCTTTGCGTTGATATATGAATACTTTTTTCACACTATTGTGCGCTAAAGGTCTGCATAGATAAGAATACAAAAGATTCACAACATATTCATAATATGCTTTTCAGGGTTTTGTCACTAGTTGCATTACTAGAGGCACCTCATAAATAAGTGTTTTGCTTTTTATGTTAATCCTCGGTGGTTCGTTAATGACTTGAGCCTAATATTCTTGAAGTGTTGAATTTAGTGAAAAATTTCGTGGTTGCATTACACCTAGTGTGCTGTCAATCTTGTGGCTAAGGTTGTGTGACGGATTTTAGCTTGACTGGCAAGAATTAGAATTAGTTAGTAGCTGTGACGGAAGATTACAGTTGCAGATAGTGTTTGTGCCTGTGTCTTGATGCTTTTGTTAGGCTAAGGGATGTTGTTCGGTTAAAAGCTAACTGGCATCATTGAAATTGATAATGACTCAAATACATCTTAAAAGGAGAAATAAGCATATCATTCATATGTACCTTGTGATATTTGGGCTGGTTATGCAACCATGTAGGATCTAAATATGTCTCCTCATTTAGAAGATCTTGGTTTAGGGTTTTCTTACAAATTTGCTTCTTAATTTGATTTTTTCTTTGTTTTAGTTAGTTTACATTTTATTCGTGTTTTTTTTTATTATTTTATAATTGTAGAACTGTTCAGTGCTATGGATTCTTCGGTTGCTATGGATTCTACTAATGCTAAAGATTCTACGGCTGTACCTTTGGAAAGGAAAATGTACGTGTTAGTCCGATGTCTTACTTAAAGGAATACAAGAGGGGGGTGAATTGTATTTGTAGCGACTATGTAAACTTTTTTGCGGAATTTAAACTAAGAAAGAATGAGACACAGATGTAGGCTTTTCTGAATTTATTCACTATGTAAATGAAACGTTACAAAAATAGCCTAGTATCAAGTTCCTTTAGGAACTTGAGCTACCCTGACTGTGATCCCTCAATCACAGCCTCTTCACTCTAGGTAATTCTACTCTGAATTACATACAGTGTTGTGACTCACTCAAGTCTAATTACAAACACTCGCAACCCCAATCCCAAATTACAAAGTAATTTACAAGGATTCCTAAAAGTACTTAGAAAGAACAATGCAAGAAAGTATACTCAGCTTTTTAGAAGTTAAAATACTTAAGACTCTTAAACTTGTTTCAAAAACGTTAATCAAAACTGCTTTAAATAATGAGTAAAAGAAACTGCCAACCAGAGTTCCCACTAACACCACTAAATCACGTATGCTATATTCTGATTATCAAGGTAGTGGAGTTAAAACTGTATAAAACATTTTCCTAAAAACTAGCAAGCATTTAAGGCAAAGCATGATCAAGTCAATGCTTATCTTATTAATTTCTAAAAAAAACATTTAAAATTTATCTTTTTTAAATCAAAAAGATAATTATTATAAAAGATAATTTTACTTAAATAATTATTTAATTTTAAAAAACATAAGTTTTATCTTTTTAAAATTAGCTAATTATTTCTTTATTTTCAAAAAAAACTGTTTTAATTCTTTATTTTATAAAAACCGATTATTCTAAGTTGAATTAAAACATTTGGAAATTATTTTGAACGTAGAATAAACTTAACCACTTTAAAGCTGAGTTCCTATTTTGCAGTAATCCTTCTAAATATTGTATACATTAAACTAACATGGGGTTGTGTCAATTTGAACGCTTATAGATATTTGCTTTGAATTCCTTGCGCTCCGATACTTTGAATAATTGTGCTCCTACTCCGGAACAACTTCATGAATATCTTTTAATCTACCACGACTCAAAAACATTATTAGTCTAAGTTTGTTTTGCAATTGTTATCATCAAAATACATAGAGGTTCAACAATATTCCCCTTTTTTTTATGATGACAAACAAAACAAACTTGGAGAGAAAAAATTATCCAGGCATAACTTTAAAAGCATCGTTATATTGGGAAGTCTAAATTCTTAACTTCTATACTAAGAACATAATAACCACACAAAAATAATAATAAAACTATTCAAGCATATTGACAGTAAAATTAAAGCATAGAAATCAAAGAAACTATACAGGTAGAAGCTAAGAAGAGAAACTAAGTAAAATAGATCAAAGCTAAGTTAAGTAAGAAGTCTGCATCATTCATGAAATGGAATTTGAAGTTATACCTTTGATTGAAGACGTCTTTGAAAAACTCATTGAAGAACTTGTATGATTTCAGCGATTTTCAAGTTTGGTTCCGTTTCCCCCTTTTGGCATCATCAAAAACAAACAAACACAGCCATACATAGCACTATTCCATAGAGAAATAGTAAATTCTAAATGCACATAAATAAGAAGCACACGCACACGTTCAGAAATAAAGGAGAAGATGCAATATAGGATAGAAACCAGTCAAGATAGCCATTTTCAAAGTGATACAGACCAATAGTTTTAAAGATAACTATACAAACTTGCAAAAGAGAAGCTTAAAGATATAAATAAATCGAATAATAGTCAGAAAAAGCTTGCAGAATATGTTATCACTAGATAGGCAGAAGATGAGATGGCTTTAAGAATCTGGAACTTCCTCCTCTACACACTGAAAACCAAGCTCCCTGACAGACTCAAGAGTTCTTGCATTGCTTTGTTCAATAGCTACCGTATGAGAGGTGACAGCATTCTTGAGTAAGTCTTCCATCTTTGCTTCCCATGACAGTACCTTTTCCTTCAAATCAGCTACATCCTTTTTTAAGTCCACCAGCCCCTGTGTCACACCTTGAACTTCTAAACTCTAGTTTGGAAGGAGGATGACTGAAGGCTGCAAAACCAATAGAGGGTGAAGGTGAGGTGGTAGGAGCTTTCTGTGGTGAAGGATCAGGTTGTGGCGATGGGGATTTTTGTGGTGGAGAAGGTGGTTGAGATGTTTGAGGTGGTGATGGTTCATCAAGGTTAATATGAATGTGAGAGGTTGGTGGTGGTTTGCAATATTGGCTATTTTTGTACTCCTCCTTCTTGCTTTAGCAGGAACCGAAGTCCAACCCTTAGGCAACCCTCTTTTCTTGCGTTGATCTTTCATTATTATCTCCTGTTCATCACTGCCAGAGTCCTCAGACTCAGTTCCAACATCATCAACTTGGGCTTGTATAGGCACTGCATTACCCTCTTCAGTTTCGCCCTCAGCTACTTCCTTCTCTTCCTCTTCTTCTCCCTCATCAGAATCATCTTGTTCCTCTTCTTTCTCCTTTTCTGAGTCCTCACTCTCAGCTTCCCCCTCAACAGAATCCTCCTCATCCTCACTAAGTACTTCTTTCTCCTTTTCACAAGGAGCATTCTTAGCCTTAGACAGAAAGCATAGAGTACCATTTACAACATTCAAATTCAGTTTTTTCAGGGAATCCTCCTGAACAATAAACGCAGGATTGATGTTGTAGTGAGGTTCATGTGCCATTTCTACCCCAAAAGATTTCATGATAAGAGTGCCAAAGGGGGCGTATGGGATTTTTAAATTAGGGATGCAATGAGATAGGTGAGTAATCATGAGAGCAGGAAAGTTAATTGATATCTTTTTGTCAAGGCAGAAGATTAATGAAGCATCAAGTAAATTTACTTGATTCTTCTTTTGGGATCTAGGTATCACGCCCCTTCTCACAAAATTAAACAGAAGCTTATGGAAAGGTTTGAGAATGTCTTGATTGAATGTGGTTTTCTTTGACGTAATCCCAAATAACCCATAATGTCAATGGCCGAATTTCCATTAACATCGATTTTTCTGGAATTTTTAACATAGTTGTCATTACCCACATTTGGAATTTGAAACAGAGTAGCAAGTACTTCGGTATCAAAACGCAAGTTTATTCCTTTTACTTTGGCAGTACACATACCCCTAACACATTCGAAAGTGGAGATGAATTCATCCATTAAATACGGGTATATAGGAGTTTTTGCGAATGAATCAAACAATAAAGACCATCTTTGAAACTCAATTGAGGCCAATAACTCAGTAAAATTGACAGATTCACACCAATCCAAATTTAGAGCATAGCCAGGAAGGAAATTTTCCCTTTCAAGAGGGTTTCGTACCTTGCTCTTTGTGGTGGATTTCCTTGCTTGCATGGTCTTCTTAGAACCTTTAGATGATCCGGCTTTCGTGGTTGAACGCGACCTTGCTGTCCTCTTAGCTTGGGGCGCCATTGAAGGAGGAAGAACCATTGCAATTTGGGATGGTTCTTTCCCTTTCTTTGGTTTCAGATCTTTTGGAAGGGAAGAAGTGTTCCAATTTGTTCTTACCATGATTTTTAGTAAGAATTTTCAAGGAATTTTAAAGCAATTTGAAAAATTTGAGAGAAGGAAGGAGAATGAAGTTGGACGAATTTAGGAAGAAGAAGGAGTGAAGAGTTTGTTGGAGTGAGAAAGTTTAATTTGAATAGTAGAAGTATTAAAAGTGGAGGATGAATAGTGAAGTAGTATGTTGGAGATTGTGAAGAAAAGTGACGGTTTATAGGGAAACCGTGTATCATAAGTGGATGGGGAAGTGGGTGAATTAAGAGTGTTTAGATTGATTTGATGGTTTGGGTATAAAGTAGATAATTATTAATTGCAAGCTTAATTGATCTTATTCAATTTAAAAAATATCTTTTAAGAAATAAAAAAACAAAAAAATAAAATAAAATAAGATAATAAAAAATCTTTTTGGTTTTTAATAAGATAATAAAATAAAATAAAATAATAATCAAAGAAAAGGAAAATAAATTAACAAAATTAAAATACATAACAACGTAAAGTATGCATAACAATTTTCATGGCTCAATTTTCCAGTTCCTTCAACATCACATAATCTCACGTAGAATAGAATTGCATGCTTCCATATTTCATCATTTAAAATTATGCCATGCACACTACAGTTACGTATGGCAGTGTAGGTTTGAAAGTGACGTACCTTGGGATGTGAAGGAGACCCACCTCAATTTAGCTTGATCATACCAAGTTCCAACCTCATCTTTTTCAAATTTATCTCTACTCAATGGCTTAGTCAAAATGTCAGCTATTTGAAATTCAGTGTTAACAAAGTCCATTTTAATCAAGCCTTTTTCAACATTATCTTTAAGGAAATGGTGACGTATGTGAATGTGTTTAACACGAGAGTGATGTACTGGATCCTTAGATATGCAAATAGCACTACTATTATCACAGTAAATAGGTACACATTCAAGAATTATGCCAAAATCTCTTAACTGTTGTTTTATCCATAGCAATTGAGAGCAGCATGCAACAGCTGCTACGTACTCAGCTTCTGCTGTGGATAAAGCAACGTATTCTGCTTTTTGGAACTCCATGAAACCAAGCAAGAGCCTAAAAATTGAACCATACCTGAGGTACTCTGCGATTTACCAGATCTCCAGCATAGTCAGCGTCTGCAAATCCCTTAAGATCAAAAGTGTCGCTTCTCGGATAGTAGAGACTTAGATCAGCCGTTCCCTTTAAATATCTCAATATTCTTTTGACGGATGTTAGATGGGATTCCTTTGGTTTGATTGGAACCTTGCACAAAGACCTACACTGAAAGAAATGTCAGGCCTACTAGCAGTTAAATATAGCAAAGAACCAATCATACCTTTGTACTTAGTCTGATCCATACTAACTCCCTGGGAATCTTCATCCAATCTTACATTTGTCCCCATAGGAGTATTATTGATCTTTGCGTTTTCAAGGCTATATTTCTTCAATAGTTCCTTGACATATTTTTGCTGATGTATAAAAATACCTGTTTCAGTTTGTTTGATTTGCAGTCCAAGAAAGAAATTGAGTTCCCCCATCATACTCATTTGAAATTCACTGCTCATCAACTCAGCAAAATACTTACACAAAGATTCGTTAGTTGCACCAAAAATTATATCATCAACATATATTTGTACAACTAAAAGATGAGTTCCTTTAGATTTTAAAAACAACGTTTTGTCAATTTTTCCACGTTTAAAATCATTTTCAAGAAGGAACTTTGAAAAGTCTTTCATACCATGCTCTAGGAGCCTGCTTCAGCCCATATAGAGCCTTATCAAGCTTAAAAACATGGTTTGAAAAATTCGGATTTTCAAATCCAGGGGGTTGTTCAACGTAAACATGTTCTTTTAATAAACCATTTAAAAACGCACATTTTACGTCCATTTGATAAAGTTTAAAACCCATAAAAGCAGCAAATGCTATTAGAATACGAATGGCTTCTAACCTAGCAACAGGAGCAAACGTTTCCTCAAAATAATGCCCTCTTGTTGGTTATAACCCTTTACAACCAACCTAGCCTTGTTCCTAATGATTGTACCATACTCATCTAGTTTATTTCTAAGACCCACTTTAAACCTATAACTTTCTTATCTACTGGCTTAGGTTCAAGATGCCATACCTGATTTCTTTCGAATTCGTTGAGTTCCTCTTGCATGGAAATTATCAGTCAGGGTCTTCCAAGGCTTCTTTGTGATTGCGAGGTTCCAGAGTTGATAGGAAGGCTTTGAAAGTACATAAGTTTCTCATTTGTGATCTGATTTGTGTTCCTTTGCTCAAGTCACTTATTATTTATCAAGGGGATGTGACTTTTGGTGCTTCCATGGTTTAGGTTGGAAGGATTGAGCATCAACACGATTCTCCTGTTCTTCTATTCCTTCAACCTCCTCATTGTCATTATTTTCTGGAATATTTTCTTCTTCAGGTTCCTCGTTTTGAGGTTCAGGAGTGGGAACTTCAGCTTGCTCAGTGAGTTCCTCCTCCTGATTTTCGATTACTCTTGTTGGCTGCTTATGGGGTACTTCATCATCTTGATTTGTTGAACGAACCAGACCAATCTCAAAACCTCCATCTTCATATTCCTGTATACAGGTGTTATTGTTAGTTTCATTAAAAATAACATGTATACTTTCTTCTACACACATAGTCCTTTTATTATATACTCTATAAGCTTTACTGTTAGATGCATATCCTAGAAAAATTGCTTCATCACTTCTTTCATCAAATTCTCCTAGATTTCTTTTATCATTATTATGAACAAAACATTTGCATCCAAAAGCTCTTAAGTGAGCAATATTAGGCTTTCTTCCTTTCAATAATTCATAAGGTGTCTTGTCCAACATTGGTCTAAGCATGGCTCGATTGATGATGTAGCATGCTGTATTTACAGCTTCCGCCCAGAAGTTCCTTGGAAGCCCACTTGCTATCAACATTGTTCGTGCCATTTCTTCCAATGTGCGATTCTTTCTCTCAACTACACCGTTTTGCTGTGGTGTTCTAGGTGCCGAGAAATTGTGGCTTATTCCCTGTTCCCTACAAAACTCATCAAACTTGGAATTTTCAAATTCCGTTCCATGGTCAGATCTCATATGAATAAGCTGATTACCTAAAGATTTTTGTGTCTTTTTCAAGAAGGTCATAAACATATCAAAAGTTTCATCCTTACTATGCAAGAATAAGACCCACGTAAATCTAGAGTAATCATCTACAAGGACTAAGACATACCTTTTTCCACTTCTACTTTGTATTCTAACGGGGCCACACAAATCCATATGAATTAGTTCCAATGGCTTTGTGGTGCTTACCATTTTCTTTGATTTAAATGACGATCGAACATGCTTTCCTTTAATACAGGCTTCACAAGTTTTGTCTTTTAGGAACTTGATAAGTGGTAGTCCAATTACTAAGTCCTTTGACCTTAACTTGTCTAGCAGTGAAAGACTAGCACGTCCAAAACGTTTGTGCCATAAAAGTGGATCATCCTCAATAACACTCAAACACGACAGATTATAAGTTGGAACTGTATTGAGATCCACAGTATACGTGTTCCCTTTACGAGTTCCTTCCAATACTAATTTTCCAGTGTTATTGTTGATGATTTTACATTTTTCGGAAGAAAAACTTACAGAGTTTCCTTTATCACAAAATTGTGAGATACTAAGCAGACTATGTTTCAAACCCTCGACTAAGAAAACATTATCAATTGCGTGGGAACTTGACCTTCCTACTTTGCCAATTGCAACGATGTTGCCTTTCTTGTTATCACCAAAGGTCACAGTTCCTCCTGGAAAGGCCGTGAGTGAGAGAAATCTTGATTCATCTCCTGTCATGTGCTTAGAACAACCGCTATCGAGGTACCACTGGTTGTTCCCCCTCACTACGACCTGCAAAAGAAACTAAGCGTTAGTTTCAGGAACCCCATCTCCATGGGTTCCTGTGTTGATACAGTAATATCATTTTTCTTTTCCATACATATTTTACATTTTTAGCAGATACTGTTTCCTTCTTTGTGCAATTACTACTCATATGACCAACTTTGCCACAGAAAGAACACACCATCTCGCTGGAAGATCCACATATTTTTTCTTTTTTCTCCTTTTTCTTGTGGTTAAAACCTAAACCTTCAGTACGTTTAGTTTTAGCCTCAAGAATCCATTTGGGAACTCCCATCTGTATTGCGCTTCTATTAATTCTAGCTCTTTTAAGTTCCTTTTGCAAATTTTCATTTTTATCCTTCGTTGTCTTGACCTCTTCTTTTAATTTTTCAAAATCAGTGTTAAATGAGGTCAATGGCAACGAAGATAAATTGCTAGAATCAATACTAGAGCATAACAGTTTGTATTGAGTCGGTTCTACATTTAATAAAAAATTTTCGCTTTTGACTCGTTCAAGTGATTCTTTTAACATTGTATTAGTATCAAGTAATTCAAAGAATCTACCTTGAACATCAATTTTTGTCGAGCTTAAATACTTAACGTGATCTTTGCACACATCTAGAGCTTTTTCACTTGCATTGTATTTATCACAAATATTCTTAAAATCATCAAGTGTTTCAATAAGTATTGAAATCAATTTGTCTTTAGAAAGTGATTTTAGATAACTAGGCTTTAGAGTTACCTCATAAAAGAGTCGGTAGACTCGGAATGCTTTGCCATAAGACACAGGTTAGCTGTTTCTTCTTCTGGAGGTTCCTCTTCATCTTATGAGCTCGGATCTCCCCATGCGGCAATCATAGCCTTCCTGTAATTAGATTTTGAAAAGTTAGGATTGTAATTTTTATTTTGATCCTTAACCTTACCTTTTCCCTTTCTGATTCCCAGAGAGGGCAATCTTTTATGAAGTGATCCTTGTTTCCGCATTTATGGCAACCTCCTGTTTCTTTTGTTCTCTGGACCTTTCTGAAGTTCCTTTTCTGGTCAGAGAACTTCTTGTTCTTATACAGCTTTCTTAATCTTCTGACCAACATTGCGACTTCTTCTTCATCTGATTCCGTCGCTTCATCACTCAATTGGTCAGCTTTCAAGGCAAGTCCCTTGTTCTTGGGAACTTCCTGATTCTTGCTTGTCAAATGAATTTCATGTGTGATGAGGGAACCAGCGAGTTGTTCCAGGTTGAATTTGGTGAAATCTTTTGATTCCTGGATGGCTGCAACTTTGGATCTCCATCGCTCATCCTCTGGGAGACTCCTTAAGATTTTTCTCACCTGTTCATCTATGGGTATAATTCTATCAAGAGAAGCTAATTCATTAGTAATATTTTTAAAACGTAAACATATCTTGAATTGTCTCTTTATTACCCATTTCGAAACGTTCATATTTAGATAATAAAATATCAATTTTAGAACGCTTAACTTCAGTGGTTCCTTCGTGAGTTATCTCAAGTAAATCCCAAATTTCTTTAGCTGACTTACATCCCATTACACGGGTATGTTCATCAGGCCCTAAACCCATACAAGGAGTTTTCGGGCAGTTGCATTTAACTCTTTTTTCTCAAAGTCAGCTTTGTCATAATCAGCAATGGGTTTAAGAATTACCTTACCTTCAGCGTCTTTAGTAGTTACCTTATAATCACCTTCCTCGATCACTCTCCAGACTTGATAATTTTCTGACTGAATGAACATCTCCATCCTAGACTTCAGTATGCATAGTACTTCCCATTAAACAGTGGAGGTCGTTGGGGGAATAACCTTTAGCGAGTCTTTCGTCTTTAGACATCGTTTCTTCAGGAACTTAAACTCGACATGTGTCCTGCTTTCCCGAGTTCCTTGCTCTGATACCAATTGTTAGTCCGATGTCTTACTTAAAGGAATACAAGAGGGGGGTGAATTGTATTTGTAGCGACTATGTAAACTTTTTGCGGAATTTAAACTAAGAAAGAATGAGACACACATGTAGGCTTTTCTGAATTTATTCACTATGTAAATGAAACGTTACAAAATAGCCTAGTATCAAGTTCCTCTAGGAACTTGAGCTACCCTGACTGTGATCCCTCAATCACAGCCTCTTCACTCTAAGTAATTCTACTCTGAATTACATACAGTGTTGTGACTCACACAAGTCTAATTACAAACACTCGCCCCAATCCAAATTACAAAGTAATTTACAAGGATTCCTAAAAGTACTTAGAAAGAACAATGCAAGAAAGTATACTCAGCTTTTTAGAAGTTAAATACTTAAGACTCTTAAAAACTTGTTTCAAAAACGTTAATCAAACTGCTTTAATAATGAGTAAAAGAAACTGCCAACCAGAGTTCCCACTAACACCACTAAATCACGTATGAAATATTCTGATTATCAATGTAGTGGAGTTAAAACTGTATAAAACATTTTCCTAAAAACTAGCAAACATTTAAGGCAAAGCATGATCAAGTCAATGCTTATCTTATTAATTTCTAAAAAAAAAACATTAAAAAAATTATCTTTTTTTAAATCAAAAAGATAATTATTATAAAAGATAATTTTACTTAAATAATTATTTAATTTAAAAACATAATTTTATCTTTTTTAAAATTAGCTAATTATTTCTTTATTTTCAAAAAAACTGTTTTAATTCTTTATTTTATAAAAACCGATTATTTAAGTTGAATTAAAACATTTGAAAATTATTTTGAACGTAAATAAACTTAACCACTTTAAAGCTGAGTTCCTATTTTGCAGTAATCCTTCTAAATACTGTATACATTAAACTAACATGGGGTTGTGTCAATTTGAACGCTTATAGATATTTGCTTTGAATTCCTTGCGCTCCGATACTTTGAATAATTGTGCTCCTAATCCGGAACAACTTCCTGAATATCTTTTAATCTACCACGACTCAAAAACATTATTAGTCTAAGTTTGTTTTGCAATTGTTATCATCAAAATACATAGAGGTTCAACAGTACGTGTTTTCTTATTTGCTTATTTTATGTTTCTTGGTCAGTATATTAGTTATTGTTTGGATAAAACTTGCTCATTTTATGTTTTGTTACTCATTTATGAAATATGAGGTTTTTGATTTTGTATAATATATCTGATGAAATGTATTTTCTATTTGGAGTTGTAGTCATTTGTTAAATTAGCACTAAGTATTTGCTCATTTGATAAATGAGCAACTAACTATTTGCTCATTTGCTAAATGAGCAAAAAATTGATTCACAAAATAGTTAGTTGCTCATTTATCAAATGAGCAAAAAATTGATTGCTCATTTCCCAAATGATCAAAGAAATGTTTGCTATTTTACAAATGAGTAACTAATTATTTGCTCATTTGACAAATGACCATTTCACAAATGAGTAAACTTATGTTTGCTCATTTCACAAATGAGCAAACTTATGTTTGCTCATTTCACAAATGAGCAAA